TATATATATATATATATATATATATATATACATACATACACCAGAGGGCTGCGCCCCCTGCTCGCTACCGCTCACCAACCCCCGATAACTGCTACGCAATTACCTTATTGTTCGCTTCACGAATAAAATTAAAATCGTTTTCTTGGAGATTAGTTGGCAATTTTTCTGCACCAACATCACAGAGAAAATATGATAGGATTGTAATATGTCAGCATTATAAACTTCCTTGATTGAGGTCCTTGTTATCAGCATTATAAACTTATATAAAGCAATTTTAATGCAAACAATAATATAAACTTATATAAAGCGAGGAAACAATATTATATAACAAATCACTATAGGGCATTAGCCGGAGATTAATCTCCGTATTCGAAGCACACGCGGCAGAGCCTAACTCAAGTTGACTATATTTGAGGGTGTCCCTTGATTCTCGCCAAGTTGTAATCGCGGTTGATCACCAAGCTGGGCGATGTTGAAACCCAATCGTGATTCTGATTGGTTTACATTTTAGAGTATTTTTAAATGTTCAATGGTATATGTGATTTCAGAGGTCCGTTAGTTCTAAGTTGGATACCGGCTGGTAAGGTTACTTTTTCTTCTGGTCAATAAGATCGAAGGTATGTGGGCAGTCATAAAAAGGGACTTTAGAAAAAAATTTCATCGCCAGTAAGGTACCACAAACGCCATCTTCGAATCGTATTTCGCCGAATTTATGTGGCGATGGAGGTACGCAGATTTTATTCATGATAAATTTAGACAGTATCTAGCAGCTATTAGGGAATTCGGTGCACCTAAATCTAAAGATATTCAAGCTTAAAAAAGAAGTGAGTTGTTTTTTTTTTTCCTTTTCTTTCTGTGCTCACTCCATTAATTTTTGTTTCGATTCAAAATGCATTTTCTTGGGTTTATTAATTTTGCTCATATCGGGTTCATTGCAATTTTATAAAGTTTTGGCCGATGTTTTGTTGAAATTTTCCAATGTTTTATTGAAATATCATATTTTGGCAGCTATTCCTGGTACCACGGTGTTCCGTGCAAACAGGAATGGCGCCAAACATAAGTCGCCAATTTCGCCAAGAGGCACCCTCGAGTACAGTTTTACCCCTACTAACTCAAATCATTGTTGATCTTATAGGATGCCGGAAGCTCCCTATATGGTGCTTCATTCCCCCCCATCCAGTAATTTAAATTGTAAACTGAAAACAATTAAAACCTAATGAAAAAAAACTTTAAAATATGGCAAACAAATTAAAACGTGTAATATTAATAAGTAGATGCTGAGTAATATTTCAAAAGCAAAACCCGTTTCGAGTAATTGCCCAATTAACTACAATACTGTCAACTGACAAAATATTTTAGTTTCAATCAGACAAAAAGCAAATTATATAATAAAAACATATGTTACTGAAATTCGACAAATTAAATTAAGCAATTTAATTTTTTTGTCATATTAAAAACTAATAAAAAAAAGAAAAGTAAAATGAAATAATTCTGTTATCAATGATCAATAAACATTTTTGTCTGAATTGTTATAAAAAAGTAAGGTGAAAACAATAAAATTAAAAATTATTTACAATACATCTCTGAATATTCACAAAACCTAGCTATGTACATTTTTCATTGATTTTTCTTTTCACTTCTTTTTGTGTACCAATGATTTGCACTTTTATGTATTATTTAAGAAATATCTCAATCAAATATGAACTGTTAATTAATATTTCTGGTTGCACGCTTTTTTGAAAGTAAGTAAAAAACAATTAAAAGTAAGAAAAAACAATGATAAAATTAAATATTATTTACAAAACCACCTTATATACAAATTTTTTTATCAATTTCTTTTCCATATCATTCGTTTTCATTTAAACGTCTTGACTCATCAACTTTTCTTAGCCGCGTATTTTGCTGTCGCGTATTGTTAGTACTGCGCTTATTTTCCCGGTAATTTTGTACTGCTAAATTATGTTCAGCCCTATATATATTGATATCTCCTAAGATATTCACGGCGATCCATTTTTTATGAAAGATATAAGTATTTTAAAGTAAACTCTGTTCAATATATTTCACACATTCAATACAAAATAAAAATCGCAACAAGATTTAGCTGATAAGTTTAGTTGTAACATTTCTGCAGACAGCATTATTAAAAATTATTACCTTTACACACAAATGCGTTTTCAATCTGTTTGTCTCTTCTTTATTAACTCCTAAACCACCCGACCGAGAGCGATGAAATTCGGCTTACTTGATAGTACGAAGCATGGGGCTATCGAGTTAGAACATTCAACTACGAACTGTTCGAGCGGGATGAGTGAAAAAAGAAATGAAGCATCAGCCATTGTTTTAAATTTAACTCAATAGACAGTGCTATTTTTTCAAATATTTTAACTATCACATCAGTGATATGTGCTTGCTTATTGTTCTATTATCAGACAAATTCAATGAATAACGTGGGAGTACTTCTACAGTTATCTGAAACCATGTGTTTAGTTTGTTTAGAGAAATTCTGTTAAAAAATTTACTAATTTGTTTAGACAAATGTAAGAAATCGCCATACTTTATTGAGAAGAATGATGCTTAATTAATTTAAGTAGTAGATGCATACTAAAATAAAGAAATAAGCTAAAAGCAAAACTTATGGAGTAAAGGTACCATTTACAGGAATTAAGAATAAATATTATTGGCACCAATGACGTACGTTGGTAATACACTGCTGGACAATTGCTAAGGACGGATAATAAATTGCAATGTAGCATAAAATTAAGCGAGACATGAGGCCTAGTAGGATAAAATATAGTTGCCACCCTGTTCAGACATTAGAATAAAGAATATTCATTGTTCTGGAAAGTACAAAAGCTATGAAACATCTGAAAGAAAAATAAATGTTCATTTGATGCTGCGTACGGAAAAATGGAATAATGCATCTAAATGTTAGCAGGCAACTTGAAGAAAGGTGTCCGTACGGGATATGACCACCGTGGAGTGTGATGCAACATTCTACACGTCGTATCATACTTTGCACAACATTATCCAGCAGCTGTTGAGGCAATTTATCCCATTCCTCTGTCAGTGCACGGATGAGGGTGTTCTTGTTTGTCGGAGGATAGTTTCGACCAGCAAGTTGCCTCCCCAAAGCATCCCAAACATTTTCAATGGGGTTTAGATCTGGAGAACGTGATGGCCATACGAGGCGTTGAATACCCTCGCTGTTTAGACAATCCTGAACAGCGAGTGTTCGATGACATGTTGCGTTGTCGTTCATAAAAACAAATTTATCACGGACAGCAATACGGAAAAGACGAACATGAGGAAGTAGACCTTCATGAATGTATCGTTGGCCCGTCATAGTCCCATTCGCAACCACATGTAGGCGCGTGTGGCCATTGATTGTGATGCCGGCCCACACCATGACACTGCATGTCGGATATCGGTTCCTTTCCTGGATATTTTCTGGGCGATAACCACTACCACTCTCGCGTCAGATCAGTTGGCGTCTGCAATCCGATGACAGACTGAACCTACTCTCATATGAGAATAGTACGCATGCCCAGTCCTGTTCAGTCCAATTGTGATGCTCACGACACCATTGCAGACGGGCAGTACGGTGCTGTCTGGTCAATGGGACACACACAACAGGTCGGCTGGCGTATAGTCCTCCTCCCCTCAAACGTCTGTCAACAGTTTTTCGGGAGATCTGCTTTCCTGTGACAGAAAGAAACTGATTTGCCACCTGATGAGCTGTGGTGCGCCTGTTCGTTTTTGCTGATAGGACGATCTATCTGTCTTCTGCAGGCGTCGTACTTCTAACAGGACCTCCCCCGTGCCGCCTACTACACATTCCAGTAGTTTTAAATGATTTCCACAGCCGTGAAACATCGCTGAGAGCGATGTCGAACTCCCTGGCAACATCTGTTATTTTTCGCCCTTCTTTGATCTTTCCAATAATTCGGCCACGATTAAAATCATCTAGGTTATATCGGGAAGACATGCCGAAAATTTCAAGTTCATCAACTAAATCTTTCCTGCAAAACTTTGACTTGAAACAACAACTCTCCACACGCGTC